CGTATATTTTTTCTTCTTGTCTTCGGTGCACAGAGCACAAGCAGCGCGAATAGTTGCGTGCCGCACACGTTTAGCAGACGAATGATGTCGTGGCGCAAGTGCCGCCATGATTTCAAAATTCGTAGAAATAGTTCTCGCTCGCTCGGCTGTCTGCAGACGTCAATCTGCGCGATCGTCATTACCTTGAGTCGCGGCGCGAAAAAGCGAAAATCAGAGATTGCCGTTGCGCAAGAGCGTGGCGCGCGGCTCTCTCGCGCGTGTTGATAAAGGCTCGCCGCCGCGCGCCAGTCAAACTAATTGCAGCCAGTAGAGGTGCGCGTCTGCCGAGAATCGCCTAGAATCGGTTGACACGGGCGGAAATTGAGATTTTTCGCCGCCTGCGAGCGACCGCCAGAAAGAGAATTCTATTATTCTATTCTTATCATCGGAGAGCGGCGTGACGAGGCAGACACTGGACTCTGGCGTGACATTGACAGGCCACGCAAGAGTGCCGCACCGCGAGTGGGATACATAATGCAACATGAGTTGCCAAGCGCTCGAGCTTGCGAGAGCGCGTTCGCTCGCTCTCTCGCAGACCGGATGCGCCTACGCCGAACTTGCATACTGATATATGTACGTACATGACTCGCGAGGGGCCCTGCCCGCCTGCCCGCCTGCCCGCCTGCCTGCCCGCCTGCCTGACTGCCACCTATACGTTCGTACCCATCGCCGAGCGCACTTGCAGCTCGTCCTACCAATTGCACTGCAGCCTTGCGCACTCTGTGTGGCACTTGGCGCTCGGTCACGACCCTCTGCTACGCTGCGTCCGCGCTCGTCTCCGAGCCTTTCTTCGTCGATCCGATGCCCACTCGTTGCAGTCCACGTCAAATGTACCCGTATCAGCTTTGCGCGCACGTCCATTGCATCGCCGGCAAACCTCCATTTCTCGCATGTGCCGCCGTATAGGTGTACCAGGTTTAGTGTCGGCACTCTTACTCCAGCCAAATTCAAACGGATTTCTTACAAATACTTCTACTCAGACTTCGGTGCGAAATAAAGTTTCATACATGCCCATACGGGATCGTCAACGTCTATCGCGACTATCAATAATCATAACCATTATATGTCACGTAGTTGCACTGCAAATTAAAAGCTTTTGTGCTAGCATGATATAATGTACGGATAATCGCAGATGAGACAAGCCTTTTGTGGTGACGATTATTTGAAAGCTCGCTCTTGGAATGGAAAAAAAAAGTTGCAACTGCACAATGCGCCGGCAATCACGGAACGAGCTGGCTGGTCGATTACAATTGGAAAGCTAAGCACACACAAAGTGCAGAGCACGCGCTCGAGACAACATCTGCGAGATTCGAGTTCGATAGTCGTCTCACGTCGATGCATTGTTTTAATTAATATACGCCACGTGTTGCAGCCGAGAGCGAGCGAGAGAGAGAGAGAGAGAGAGAGAGAGAGAGCTACTTCCCCGCAGAGCGTCAAACAATGCGCCGATTGATGCGACGCATCTGCTGCAACGAGTGCGCCTATGTGTGTATAGCCGCGCTTTTGCCGTATTTTCATTTAGCTGCGTGACCGCCGACAATACCCGCGCGACACTTTTAATTATGATGACGTGCCACGCGCTACGTATGTGAAACTGCCCCCCCCCCCCTCACTCGACCCTCAGCGTACACCTTTTCTCTTGCACTTTATTTCTACGAAGCTAATTGTTAGCTGCATTGTTTGCACCCGGGCATGTATGCAGATTGCGCGATAAACACAAAAGATTCGACTGTGTCGAAACTATCAAGTAAATTTGAATATCCAGCGTGGTGTCAAACTTCGCTGCAAGCCCGATGCAAATAACGATAAAAAAATTGACAGATTTCTTTTTCCGTTTTTGTTTCTGTTTTTCGATCAAAGATCGTTTTAGATTTGGCGAAAGCATGCGACGATAAACTGCGTGGGCTACGCTTTACAGCTTACGGCTAGGTGATAGCGATAAAAAAAACGAATAATCAAGTCGGAAAAACATCGAGCGCGGGGAACAAAGTTATGCACAAAACACTTTAGTGGGAGCTCGCGCGCCGCCGCTACAGGATATTCATATGCATGAATGCCAGCTATACGTGCATTGGCACGCTCGACAGACAAAATACACATACAACAGACGCGTAATCGAGCGTCGACTTTGAAATTATTTGTTCGTAATCCCGAAGCCCCGTGTGCTACTTCTAAATCAATTTGCTATTATCGGGTTTTCGTTGTCTCTCTCTCTCTCTCTCTCTCTCTCTCTCTCTCGCGCGCGCGCGCGCGCGAGTCGTCCACTAATCCGGCGAGCCGCCCTCCGTCGTTCGCTCACTCGCGATTCAATTACGAGGACATTCGGCTGTCGAGAGCTCTGTTAACGCCGTGTGTCGCGCGCTCGTTTTCGATTTTTGTTAGTCCGGCCGGCTTCATTTCCCATTTTAGACGCCTTGATTCTATCCCGTGCTCCCGTTCTCGGCTTACATTTTTCATCATTGCTTTTTCATTACTAAAATCGATACATCGCTTTATGAAAAAAAGTTATAGGCTTCGATTGAAATGAACATTTTTTAAATCCCTCGATTTTTTTTTCATATTTCTTTTTTTCGCGAAATTCTTTGTTCACCAGTATGCAAAGTCATTTCACGTACAATATTGGTTCCAATCTTACCTGCAAATTATCTATGCACCGCGGGTACGCGACTCTTTCATAGAGCTAACACAATAACTGCTGAATCATACGTAAACCTATTTGAATAAATCAAAATCTAGTATGCGTGTGGCACGTGCAAAAAAAAAATGGTTTTTGTGTGGTTGGCAATACTTTTCATCAAGTGCAGTATACAAATATTGATCGGCACTATCGAACGTTATAATTATCGACGCGCGATACATGCGCGAATATATTTCACGCTGCGTACAAGGCACAATGAGCTTTTGTCTCTCTCGATTTGCAAAGACAATGCTATTTCATTAGCATATAGAGCCATATAGAGCTGCACACAACTTAATCATGATCTATCCAGTGTAATCGATGCCTTCCGCCACTTTTCATACTCTTCTAATCTATCGAGTTTCTGCAAGTAGTTTATGCATCGTAATAAAATATACTTTAAAAACGCCAGACACTCAATCATACAGATATGACTATATCTTATACGTGACTTATTTCTTTGACCACGTACAATTTACTTGTTCATCCGTCCAAGTTAAATTACAGTAGGAAATGTCGAAATTTCTAGCAGAATCGTGAAATTCTTTTAATGTGTTTTACAATATTCAGTCAATCATTATAACTAAGAAATAGATAACAAGTATGAGACGTTATCCCCGTAGTAACTATTAAATAGATACGAAACGGTTATATTACAACACTATTCCGTGATTACGGAGCATTGCATGAACTTTTTTGAAATTGAAAAATAGTAATACTGAAATCACTCGCAATTGAAAAGAGTATGATAAGCGCGAAGTATTTGAATTATAAATTGAATTATCATTTTGAATACAATGAGCACGAAGATAGGTATGTGTAAAAAGTTAAATAAAGATGCTGTGGATGCGTATTACTGCCGACAGTCATCTCTAGTTACACTAAAATAAAAGATTGTCGCATGTGTCTGCGTGAAATTAATAAACTTCTATAAAGCAAGTAGATTGATTTATTTTAACAAGCTGAAAAATGCTTTTTGCTTGAAAAAAAAAACTGCGCGCCTGTCTAAAATATACAACAAAAAATAATGTCGTTACTTCGTTTATCCCTCGAAATATTACTAAATTTTCAAAGAATAAAAAAAATGTATTCTTCGTTAATCACGCCTGTGACACGGGTGTACGGAGACAGCAAAAAAATGTCTTCTTTTGAGAGTGCCGCGCGAGGAGCGAGCGAGTCGCTTAATAGTTTTCACGCTCGTTATTACGTGTGTTTGTGAGGAGGACGATGAACAAAAAAAAGTACTCTCGCACGCTCGATTGTTTTACGTCGCTTACCATTGGTTCGTTGGATACATTAAACACGCGCGTCTAGTAGAAAGGCGTCACAGGTACAGAGACAGAATGCCATACAGCATCTTTTGTAGGCTTTTCACTTTTCTCTTTTTTATACTTGGCGCACAAACGAGGAGTGAGAGAGAGAGGGCAATGGGAGGGGGGGGGGGGTTAAAACGCGCGCGTGCACACGCAGATTTGTTCTGTGTCTGCGTGCATCTGCCAAAAGACAAAAGTAATATCTCGCGCTTGAAAGCTCTTTTTCTTGCCTGCACCCTCGTCTTTTATGCATAGTTTTATTTGCTACGTCCGCTAGCATATTTCCATCCTCACTTTCATATCATTATATATTGTGTCTTTGGCAAGCGAGCGAGAGAGAGAGAGAGAGAGAGACAGAGCGGACGCGCGCATTATTACTTTCAACTTGCCTCCTCCTTTCTTCTTTTCTTTTGGCGGCTCCCTTTGCTCGCTGAAATAACTTTACTGCGTAATATATAATCCAGCGGGAGTTCACGCTCGCGTGTTAAATAATAAATGCTTGTGTTCCGCCGATAATCAAATGCCGGCACGTATAATACACTTCATAGCTTTGCTTTTATTTTTTTTTATTTTTCGTTGGATCCACGTTAGACACATGTAAAATCGCATCAACCTACAATTATCATAGTTATTATTGTATTTTGCGAGCAACAATTCGATTGGTCCATTCTAATGGCTTTCTGATTAATTGCCAATACGACACGTGCCACAAACGGAGAAACCAGATACGTCCTGTATTAAGTCACAAATAGCAATATTTCAAAATTATTTTTTCTCAGATGCACTTTTATCAATATATGAATGATGATGAAAGGCGAACCGAGTGTTTCCTTAAAAATCTGCCAAGTCGATTGACAAATTTCTAATGTAACGTAACGATTAAACTTGTGTATGTCGAAATAGTAAACCAAGTTACTTTCATAAAAAATGGAGAGAGAAATCTGATAAATTTAAAAATAACGTACTTACAGAAAGACGACTTTGGATCAATAGCCAGCACGCTGCGTAAATTTTTGCCGGAAAAGGACATGCCTTACATCTTGGACGTGGACCTGGACTTTTTCAGCACAAAAAATCCGTTTCACGGTATGTACGAGCGAGTGAATCTTTACAACAAGCTGGTCAAGCTGTACGAGTTCAAGCGGCCGTCGAGCCACGATCCCGAGGTGAGTCATATAATCCGATGAGGCATTAACTTTTTAATGGGAGCCACTAGCGACAGCGGCGTCAGCAGTGAGGATGCTGGTGGTGGGATATAACGAGCGCCACTCGTCCGCACACTGGATCGCGTGTCATTAATAATTACTTAATAAGAGTACAAGGGGACCGAAAGAGTGAATGAGAGAGAGAGAGAAAGAGAAAGAAGAGAGCCGGCAGGCTCTCGGTCTCGATCGGCGTGACGGCGTTAATTACCTGGCAGCATTCTATTAAGAAATCAACGACAGGCAGCCACGATCGCGCTCAAGGAGGGTCGAAAAAGCGAGGAAGCTTTGCGGCGGCTTCGGCTCATTATTTATACTCGCACGTTGGAGACACAAAAGCCGGAGAGAGAGAGAAATAGAGCGGCTAATTTGCATATCTTTGGCTGCGCGTACGAAGCTTAATCATCTTCTGACGTGACATCAAGTGCCGGCACGTGCCTTTCTCGCTTTATTACCCAATCGCAGCGAGAGTCCAGTTCTCTCTCTCTCTCTCTTTCTCTCTCACCCTAGCTCATTCTTACTCATTGGCGTAGCGGCGGCGGCGCAGCGACGCACATGCTCATTTAAGGCGCTCATTGTCCCTGGCGGCCCGGAGAGATAGAGAGAGAGAGAGAGAGAGAAAGGAGAAGAAAGAGAGTTTGTTGCATGTCGCGCCTCCCACTGCACGAACTCATGTTTGTGTGTGTTTGGGTCAGGGCCGCCCGCGGACGTTGGCGTCTTAATACTTTTTCAAAGCGCCCGCCGCAAAAAAACAGAACAGCCAAGCTCGAACGAAGATGGACGAGCCTCAAGCCTGATCACTTCCATGCGGAAGATTAGCGAATAATTAGGTGTCCCAACAATGGCCGCAACCTCCTTGTTTTTCTTCGTCTTTTATTTTAGCTCTGTTGTTTCTTTTTTCCCTTTTTTTCAACTCGCCCTCCTCATCTGGCTCGCTTGCTCGCTCGTTCTCTCGCGGTAGGCCGGATACACAATGTAGCCGGCTACTATAATAGACGTGGCGAGGGAGAGAGAGAGAGAGAGAGAGAGAGGCCTCAGTGTGTGTGCGCGGGCTTTTGGATTCGACGGACATAATGGCACGGTCCATTGTTTCCCGCACTGCTAACTGCAGTGCCCGCTAACATCCGCTACGGGTGACTCTCTCATCTGCATACGCGCGCCGCACGTTCTCTCTCTCTCTCTCTCTCACTCGGACCCCTTTCTCTCGACAGCACACCTATGCGCGTACACAGGCTCACCGGGTAGCAAGCGCGTGCGCCCTATATCATAATCGGTCTGCCGATCGATTTTCCCCTTTATGCCTTCCTGTCTTTACTCGCTCTCTGTCGCTGGTTCGCTTCTACATACATGTACCCATACTACTTTGTTTGGTCTCTTTGCATCGCCGAACGATCAAGACGTCTTAAAAATCGACCATGGATGGAGTCTCTCATGCACACACGCGCGTTAGTTTGCTTTTTATCTTCTTGGGTATAGCTCAGCGTGCGATATCAGTCGTCCTCACGACACACGAGGAATATGAATTTTCTACGGGGATCTATCTACTTTGCATCGACATCGACCGCATGCTATGGGGACATCGCGTCATCGGCAGCCGTATAGAAAATGATTTTGGATTCGCCTGGCTTTCCGTCGACGCGTACCCTTCTATGCACAGCTGCATTTGCATGCGGGGCATTCGGGAAAAAGAGGAACGCGCACCCGTTTCCCATGCTGCAGTAACAGCGGCACCGCGACAGCTCGCCTTATGCTAATTTTCGGGATCATTGGAATACCTCTACGTATCGACGTGAGATGGGTTTTTCTATCGTGAGAACATGCTCGGTGTTTACTCTATTGGCTAAGAATTATAATCGGATGCAGTGAGTTTGATAATCAGGTAAAAATAATGGAGACTGACGATCTTTGGCAGTGGGCACGCTGTGCGAAGCCTTTTTATTTATTATCTACAGCAGCAGCAGCAGCAGCAGCAGCAGCAGCAGCAGCAGCTCGTTCACCGGCCTCTCGATCGTACTTACAATCGAGAGCGGAGAGAACAAGAGAGAGAGAGAGAGAGAGAGAGAGAGAGAGAGAGAGATTAAACTCAATTCCAGCGATGACGTTCCCAAAGCAAGCCGTATAAACCATGAGAGGGAGAGTTGTGTGTGTATAGAGGCTTCTTGAATTGAACGACGGCGATATAAAAGTCGGCGGTGGCACTCAGCAAGCAGCAGCAGCAACTCCTTATCTTCGCACATGCGCGTCTTAGCTTTAGCTTCAGAGGAAGGTAAACAAGTGGTTGGCAAGTCCCTCTTTCTCTTCTCTGATAAAAGACTTGTGCTAGCGCTCTCTAGAAGTACGTTGACTTATTGTGTACATTTCAGCCGCTGGCGTTCTTTGATCCCGCTTCCCACTCTCACTCTCTCTCTCTCTTTATCGACAGCTTATTGCTCAAATTGTCTCTGCTCGGATTTTTTTTTCGTCGAGTAGCAATTGGCACTGTTCAACTCCGCGATCTCCCTCGATGATATCTGAATTAATATGTAAGTATATCTGTGGCTGACACGCGCGTATCGTTCTAACAATGAACCGGCGGTTTCGGTCTTAATTAGGCCTGGGCGCGCGCCACGATCGGCATTTTATCGGGCGGACCTGTCGGAGTCGCCGCCATCGAAATTGTTTAATCAGACGTGTACAACATTGCCGCTCCGCTGACCACCCGTTGTTTTCGGTCGCGGCACGCCGCGCCGTCGCCACAGTCTGCTGGCGGCAAAGATGCAAACGCTGAGCCAGAGAGAATGAATACAAGAGAGAGAGAGAGAGAGAGAGAGAGAGAGAGAGAGTTGGCGAAAGAGAAAGAGAGGCAGAGACGATGGCAATAATGTATGCGGGTCCCTCTACGTACATTTGTACTCGTAGCTACCTGTTTTACCCCCGTAAAAGCCGACGCTGGCTATTGTGATTGTAATCACCGCGGCTGCCGCGAGCAGAGAGAGAACTCAGCGCCCGGGTCACCCTGTGGCCTAACCGGGGTCAGGGTCATTCTCGGAATTATTTAAATTGCACGATTCACCGGCCGCTCGCCTGCTTGCTCTCCTCTCCTGCTCTTGCCATGTGCACGCGCACGCTGCTCGTATGTCTTTCAACTGCATGCACCGCGTATCATTTTCTTCTCGATTCTTTTTAATGGCCCGCCGATGTGCTTCCGATCAACTACTGCTCATATCTGCGGCTTACAACTTCATCCTCGCATCATTACACATTCTTTTTCACTGGCATTGACATTCAGCAGTACCATGCAGGAAGTTCATAATTCCACGCTGCAGCCTCATTTTTCCTCGATCAAAGGCTCTTTTTTCTCTCGCTCTTCGAATGAAAAAAAAATCCCGTGAGAATAGTGCTTTTGTCGAGCGAACAATACACGGAGCGTCATATGGGATTTCATTTGGAATATGTTTGCCTTACCTATGAAAAATATACCTCGACACCTGACGCCTGTTCTTTTTTTTCGTAAACGTGTCATCGCTGAACTTGTTTCTTATAAACGATCGGAACGTTCAGTCGCGTAAGGACTTTCTGATGCTTCGTCAAAGAGCTGACTAACCCCCGTAACGATTTAAACAATGCATTAGGAAGCCGTTTTTTTTTCTACTTACTACAAGGCGGCTATTCAAATAAGCTAGGTCAAAGTCGAAACCCTTTTCCACTAGTCAAACACTCGGTTTAATCAAGTGGCCACAGAGAGCAGCCAAGTCCTACGGCCAACGAAGCGTGTGCTCTCCACAGCTGCCTTTTTACAGCGCGAGCAGGCCACTAATAAAACGTGAAGAAAAAAGAGTCGAGTCGCCGCGGCGGAAAAAAATAAGAGTAAAAAAGCGCACAGCGCGCAGCAGCCGAAGTGGAGTCAAGAGCAAATGTGTCAGTGGCTCTCGCGATTAAGCCAAAAGAAGAGAAATGGCCCAGCATGATGCTCTCTCCCTCTCTCGCGCCCGCCAAGAATCAAGGTACAGTCTCGCGTTTAATACGTGCTTTAATACGTGGTACATATACGCGTTGGGGAGGGGGGGGGGGGCGAGCGCGTATATGCAAAACGGCCTCTTTCTCCCTCGGCAAACGTTTTCCGGCCTCTCGCTGAATATTGATGCGTGATGCAGTGTAGCTGAGCATCGTCGCCGTCTATGCAGATGAGCGTGAGAATGCTGCTTGCGCCGGATGGTGTGTGTGGCAAGCGAGTGACTACCGGAAGTACGCGGCTGCTGCTGCTGCTGCTGCTGCTCCCTCCATATCATCCTATGTCTAACGCGCCGCTACTTTGCCTTTTTCCAACTCTATCTCACAGTGCACGCCTGCTCTCGTCGCCACACTCAGATAAGTGCAGCCGCCCAACCTAATCACGCCCCGACACTTTTCAGCCCGTTGTTTTGGCGCGCCTGCTTTTTTATTGGGGCCGAATGTGTGTGCCAAAGGGACGTGGCTTTCATCTTTTTTTTTCCTTCCTGGCGTTTGTGTGACGACTAGAACACTCAGTTGATTTTTTTTGTCGTACAGTTCCTCGAATCAAATGACATTAGAGCAGTAATGGAGCATCTGGAGAAACCAGTTGTTTTACATTTACATTGGTAGTATTTTATTTGGGTGTCATATATTCAAATGAAACTTTATGTACCGGTTGAGTAATTTTAACACATATTATTTTTTTAATGTCCTTAAGGTTCTCAATTTTAAATATCTTTGTGCGCTCGATATCTTAAAATCTCACCCCGAATTACAACGAATCACATAAGAGACGCATGTATATGAAAATTAAAATTAACTCAATGCGTCCAGTTGGATCGCAAAGTAACCTTTATTGTGTACTCAACATTTCGTTAAGTGTTCATTGCCTCTTTAGGAGTACTACGCAGAAAACTGCGACAAACACATGATTAACAATTGTTTGAACGCTGATTCGTGTAACGTAACGTGTAACGTGGATCCGGTACTCA